GGTTCTGGTGAGTGTGTATCTAGTGTGATTCGAACCCATGTCGTTTGTATTGGGCGTTTTTTTATTTTCCATGTTAGCTACGCCGTAATATGCAACCACTTCCCCGTTTTATTGTGATTTTGAGTGTTTAATGATGTCTTCCTCACCCGTCACGCCATGACCCAGTTTCAACCACACGGCCATTTTGCAACACAGTTCGTGACCCTCGGCGTCACCCGACTGACTATATGAGCGTTCTGTTCAACTGTTAAGCTAGGATTTATTACCGTTATTATCATTATATTGTCACGTGATTTGTTTTACCTTATGTGTAATGTCTTAAGTATCTTTATTGTAATTTGTATATACCAATTCGTATATACCGAGGAAACGACCCCGATTGAAGGTCATGTATTTTATGACGTCACCAATTCGTGTGTAGGTACTGCTTCTAGATCTGTGCCAAATAAAATATTACATGTATCCTTATTGTGGAAAATGGTGACCTGATTAACCCAGAATGTGATTTCCATACTGAAATCTTGTCGTCAACTATTCCCTTTTCATAAACTTGGAGCTGCAGGTTAAGTTTATTTAAACAATATTTAGAAGAATTATACTAATATCATGAAGGTCCAACACATTATATAAAGACAACAATAATAACTGGTAATGTATGAATGCTGTTTCTCGGCTAAATAATTACATGTATTTTAGCACGTAGTTAGTTGGGCAACATTCGCAATATTATTTTACAAAAACCGCAAAATACCAGCACACACAGCAGAAAAAAATATACCTGGTGACAATTATGCTCATGAAGAGCCACTTCTGCTTCGATATCCCATAATTTCACATGGTGGTCATCGGCTGCACTGGCTAATAATTTGGCATGGTCCACGTGTTTACAAAACGCAACACCTGTCACACGGTCTGAGTGTCCTGTCAACGTGCCGCGGAAACTCGGAGGATTTTTTCTCGTATTGAACAAGTATACAAGATTCCGTGCACCAAAGGCAAAGTCTCCATACTTATTTGTGTCACTAACTTTGCTGCAGTACCAATTTGGCGATGGAGAAAGTATGTTTTCCGTCATTTTAGCGATATTATTTCTTCAACGTAACAAAAGTGCGCATAACCATGGGGGCGGCCATGATGGTTCTGGGGGTCACAATTTACGACAAATAGTAGTCGCAAAAATTATTTTTTTATATTGTCTCTAAAGTATCATTTTTCTTGAAATGGTAACTAATACATTTTTATAAATAGTGTACATAAGTGTTATTACTAAATTTCACCAAAAAGAAAATTAATTTCTAAAAGTAATCAACCGTCGTAAAAGAGTATGTTAGAACCCACACATGTTTCAAAATGGCCGCTGTACTGAAAACAGGTAAGGATCACGAACTATTTTTACTAAAGTTTACTGATCATAACCCAAGAATCTGTTAAATTTGCAAGTACAGATCAGTGATCTGAGTAATCCTCACGAGGGATTAAATAATTTGAAATTAATTATTTTCATTGCTACTTAAATGGCCTTAAATTTTATTCAATTCGTCCGGTCGGACGCAATTCATAATTGTCCTGCAAGTCGATTGGTCACTTTCAATTTCGTCCAAATTCACATTCGACCCAATTCACATTCTTCCCACTGTCCTTGGTCAGCCTTACGATCTTGTGTAGGATAATGTCGATTTATATGTCGGTGTGTTATGTTTCGTCAATACCTACGTACGTATTTAAGTGCACAATAATGTTATAATGTATTGTGCAATGTAATGTTATACATCTACGATTTACGACAGAATTGTACGGTAAATCTGTCAAATAAATACATGTATGGAATCCTGTTTTTCTCAAGCACTGTCTGCCAATCACTTTTCAATGACCTGTCATTCACTAAACCTGTATGCCAACTATTGAATTCAATTGAATTCCTCCTTGTTACTTGTTAGACGAGAATGGAGGAAAAACAACATTTAAAAAAAGAAAAAAAATGTCAAGTGTGTTATCTCGGTGTGAATACTTGAACATAATGACATTGATAGTGCATTGCAATGAACTTACAACATGCATCTTTAAATCTTTAAAAAAAATTTCAAAGAAATGTACACAGCACATATAATTCATTGCAGATATTGTTATTGTCCGGGCTTACTGTAAACAAAATGAATAAACTTGAATAAATGAATAAAATGA